CTCCGTGGTGGACGGCGTGTTCTCCTGCTGTATATCTCTCAGGTAGTCCACCAGCAGATGACAAACACCCACCTCTCCGCCTCTTCCAAGGAACAAGAGGACCGTGCGGCAGAGTTTCAGTTAGATTTTTTTTCAGCGGTCAACATGTCTGTTAAAGTTTAAATCTTCCGGACAAAATTAGAAAAGTGTCAGTCAAAGTTCTTCTTTGTTATTTATTGAGCTTTAAAACAAATGAATAATGACTATATAATCATATAAGAATAAAACACGGAGGACGGAGATCTCTTTTTTCTCCCCCTCTCCTGACAGCCCAGCAGCTGATCTCAAAGCACGCTCCCCTCTCCTGCAGGGGGGCGTGGTCAGCTGCAACGTCACAGAATCAGCCCCTGCAAAAACAGGGCTGGAAAGAGCAAATAGAGCGAAATGAGGCATGGCTAAAATGCAGGATCTGTTTGGTATTTTGAAAAAAAAAACTATATTTATATACTTTATAGGTATGGCCCTACAATATATTGTTCAAATATAGCATTATAGGTCACCTTTAAGAGATCTATGGATACATCTCTCAACATCCATATGAAACAGAAATAAGCAGATTTTATTTTTCTTTATGGATATTTTACTAATCACTCCCCTTTCAAACTTTATTCTTGTTTATTAATAACAACTTTTGTTACTGTCATATAGTATTTTTTACCAGTTTATTTTATTCTCTTGTTTTTTTATAACTATAATGATCATATAAAGATGTGCCTTTACCTCTGTCAGGGACCAAGCAGTAAGACAACAGAACACAGGAGTGGTTTAAATAAACTAGGGTTTTTATTTACCCAAAAATCCGTAAAACATCATATAATAACAAGGTCTATAAAAGAGGTCAACAGAAAATACCTCAAAGAAACGTAACATGTGTTAACTCAACAAAACTGACCTGCTACAATGAAAAACCAAGGAACCTATATAGTGGCTTGGCCAAACCACGTTGAACCCAACTATAATTAATAGTCACATCATACACAAAGGACACTGACAAAACCCAAATCCCCCCTTTGACATGGAAGCAGGTGGTTTGTCCCAATCTGTCCCAATTGGCTCCTTGCAGTATTTAGGAGTCCTCAGCGCTCGCCAACACCCTTTGCTGAACCAGGAAGTAACCTCCCCCAATGGACATGGTAACTCAAGAGACAAAGAAAGTAATTAATACAAACAAATACTTGTGTTAGCTGTGCTAAAATGTTTGAAGTAATGTCAGATTACAATCAAATTAAGAGTTTACCATTTAGAGCAAATGTGTGGTGTTAATTGGTATGTTTTATTGTAGCTGCCCTGAAGCAAAACTACTGAAGATGAGGATGCAGTGTAGTTGGTTTACCCTGTGTGGTTGTGGCCATCACAACCTCACTGGTTGTAGAAAAAGCTTCTTATATTCGTTAGCATAGCTAGCTAACCAGATGCTAATAACGACAAAAGTTATTGACTGTATGATCAGTATGAACAGATCGCCACTGGGCTTTCAACTAAAGACACAGCCACGCAAAAACTGCGGCATTTGTACGGCTCCTTATGGGTACTGCAATTTCTGAAGTGCTGGAGCGGCGTTCTGGTGCTCTCCGGCAGAACTGCACCCCTGTCAGACGAGACATATACCACGTGATGACACGTTAGGCTCGTGTTGTGTTCAAGGACCCTGACCTTGGCAAGGAACAACAGGCACTCGCTTTTTTAATTCTTTTGCGGTCTAGATTTCTTTAAAAAAATGTTTTTGCGTGTGTTTATACATTACCTCGAGGGCTGTACCAAATGGTCTCGCGGGGCCAACGGTTCCCCACCCCTGTTTTAAACTGTTATTAGATTTAGATTGCAGCTGTAGGCTTTTGTAATACAAACATTGAAATACATGCAGAGGGTTTTAAAATCAAGTCAACATTTGTTTTTAAACAGAAGATTTTTAGAAGGTTGATGTAATCATTTCCAAAACATGTTTTTAACAAATATTCGGCTTCATTCCAAACTTATAGGTGAAACCAAAACATGATTTTAACAAAATATATAAAAAGCTCCTGTCTGAGAGCGCCCGATCACTTATTGAGAGGAGAGAGAGTAGTTACATGGGAATAGTTACATAGCGTCTTCCTGGTTGAACTTACGCTGAGCTTCATCTGTTGAATTTCATTGAGACGTCATTTATTCTTTGTGATTCCAAATATACTTTGCTGCGATCCTTTAGAAATAAATCTTCATTCTTCATTACTTTCACAATTCACCTTCTTCATTTCACTGCTCTAAACATTCGAAATGTATTGCTACAATGTTTTGTCTGAATAATTATAACTGTAGGCAAATCCAATAATTATGGGGAGAATAGAGACGTGTTTACATGTCCCTTCCAATCAATGCATGATATTAAAGTGACAGTGTAGCTGAGGCAGAAATAGCAAACAAAGCGTTAACAGTAATCAAAGCCGAATCATTGTTTCAATCTAAATGGAGCTTGTATTTTTTTTCTTAGTTCAAAATAAGTAATATTTCTTCAGGAAACCAGAACATTATGCAGCTGTAAGATAACTAGTAAATATAAATAATAAATCAAATCTATTCACAGTTTTCCTCCAACGCAACATTTCAACTAATGGAAATATTCTCGATATGTTGTGGATGGTACTCTACAGTATACTTAAAATAAAAATGATTTGATACGATGTTTAATTCTCTCTCCCACCCCCTCCTCCCCCCAGACACCTGTCGGTCCCCCTGCCGGTGGGGGAGTGTGTGTTCAGCCTCAGCTGGCTGCTGCCCACCTACTTCCTGTTTGCGGTGACCTACGACGTCCTGCAGACGGTGGCCGACGTGGCTCACTACATCGCCGCTTACAGCCACAGTCAGGACACCCCCCCACACAACGTTACGGGGGGGCTGACAGCAACCAACGCCTCCATCCTGCTCTGATGAGGGGGGGGGGGGTGGTGAAGTGCCAACAAATCTGAAGCTTCGCAACAAGTGCTTTTATATAATATGATACGATGTAGACATTGTTTTGTTTTTGGGGCCATATTTTGGAGTTTTTGCACTTTCCCATGGCAACTTTTCAGATATGCTTTATATGTTGACAAAGCACACTTGTAAATATGACATACGTTTTATTTAAGTTATATACCTTAGACCATTGGTTCCCAAACTTTTTCTGTCAGGCCCCCCCTTTGGAGAAAAAAAAAAGTCGGGCCCCACCCCCAACACAAATAGTCAGGCTCAGTGGCGGCGCCATAGATTTATTTTGGGGGTGCTGTGGCCCGCCCCACACTTTGGGAACCACTGTCTTAGACTATAGGTTGAATTACTGGCAATGCAGAGAATAACAAAGCATTTATTTAAATGACAATGTATGTTATAATGTTTAGTTTATTTATTATTATGAAATTATTCAATATAACCACTATAAATGTACCGTTTTGAATCACGCTCATCTTCTTTTATACTAAAGCCACATGGTACGGCTTAAATCGACATGCATTGCAGATGACACCGGCTCAGTGTAGGGAAACCCAGAGTTTGTCGTTTGGAGCTATATGTAAGTTAAATCACTCCTCATGCGTTGCACACTGAGGCAGAAAGTCACAAGTTCTTTCAGGATTCATAATTCCTCTCTATTTATCCTCCCTACAAAACTTATAAAAGCTCTAACCTACAAAAGTGACATCATTATTTTTTACAGCTAAATGATGTTCTTCAATCAGGCCTTATAATGTTCCAAGGCCAATCAGCTGTGAACCCATAGGGACCGGGAACCTGTGTTCGCCCTGACAAAACTGAAAGGTTGACTTGAATTCAATGTATTGTGTCAACAGATTACACATAATTGTATTAGGTTAGTTAAAAGCAATAATATTGTGAACATAATGTATTTATTTAAACGTAATTGCTTTTAACTAACCTAATGCAGCGTACAGTGTTTTCTGGGGCCCGTATATACTAGGGCCCGTATACTTTTTGTTTACGTCTCCTATTCACGTTATGACCGCTAGCTCTAAGGCGCTTCCACATTGCCTGTACTTCCTGGTTAAAGTGTAATTGCTATTACTTTGCATAGTGTCACCAGCTTTATCTACCTTTACTTGCCAAATAAACAGTTTTTAAGCTTTTGAATGAAGTTTTATTAAGTTATAACAGTTTTGTGATTGTTCTCATTGAATGAATGGTAGACACAGGTCTGCACTAAAAGTCTGATAATAAGGTGTTAACCCTCTATGCTGGCATGACTTTTTATTTTGGGAGGAAAAAAATGTATCACCATGTGTTTTAGGAGCTTAGGGGTCCCTGATATTATATCAATTATAAAATGTGACCCCCCCCTCAACCAGGGGTTGGTTTGTTGTCTCAGGGCAACAATGTGCTACGAGGGTATTGAAACACAAAGGATTTCTACAATTCAGAAGAAATAGAAAAAACAACTGTGTGTGTGTGTGTGTGTGTGTGTGTGTGTGTGTGTGTGTGTGTGTGTGTGTGTGTGTGTGTGTGTGTGTGTGTGTGTGTGTGTTTGTGTGTGTGTTTGAGA